AACCTTTTAGGTAAGCCTTATCGGTGATGGATGTTGGGATCATTAGTTTAAGAGTATGTATATTTATGTAACATATTTGGTTTAATTTAATTGATGTTTTTCAAGACAAATTATTTACTCTACAGGAGAGACCATGGAAGAAGTAAGAAAAAAAGAATATCTGATCAAAGCCCTTGAAAAAGAACTTGTAAGTTGTAAAAAAAGAAAAAAACAATGTTTCTTTGGTAAATCTAAGACGCTGGATTCAAATGTTGTTTGTTTTTTGTAGGAGACGGAATTAAAATCCACTGAGCGGTTGAAGTTCAAGATTGATACTTTGGAAGCCAGAGTGAATGAGCTTATTTCTGAGCTATCAAGGAAAACAGAAGAAATTCAGATGTTAAAGGTAATACAATAAAAAATGTTTTCCTAATATTACAAATACCAGGGATATTTGTAATAACTATTCTAAGATGCATTCCTAAGACATGTGACATGCCATTTATCTTTCTGCTGACAGAGCGAAAAAGAGGTGGCATTAGATGAAAATAGTCATCTTAAAGAGGTTTGTAAAAACACTTTCTTCTTAAATTTCTTCCTTTTGACTTTTCCTATCAAACTTTCCTTATTGCGTCATTAACTCAAACCTTGCTTTCTTGTGGTTTTTCTTGAGTCTTTCCTTGTACGCTTATTCTCTTTTTTGTGGTTTTTATGCATACTTTATGTCCTTCCTTTCTCATTTTCTTCATGTGTTCTCTGCTTTCTTTCCACGTTTGTCTTTCAGGTTGAGCCTGAAAAATTGTAAAATTTTAACATGAAAAATGTTTTTATATTATCATGTACACAGATCAAAGTGAAGGAACTTGAAGGGCAGTTGGCTCTTGAGGTCAAGAAAAATAAAGAATGCACCTTTCAGATGGAGCAGCTAAAGGAAGACATCTTGCAACATGAGTAGGTTCAGCTTTTCAATTACATTATTATATCTGCTTTTGTACCTTCGCTTATATCGTCATGTAATTTGTTAATTTAATCATATCTTTAAGAGTGAAATATGAGGAGCTGCTGTCTAGTTTTGATAAGCTGCAGTTTGAAAACATGGCCATTCAACAAGAGTTTGAAGATGGACTTTCCAAAGTTAAAGAGTCTGAGGAAAACATGAAGGTAATACATATCAAGACATCTTGTCATATAAATAAACAGGTGCTTTTGCCGAAAGTAGCTCTAATTTCCATGTCACCTCCATCACTGAATGATTTTCACAGTCTGAAAACTCTTTATTCAGGTAAGCAAGGAAAACATAGAAAAACTCAAAAGAAAAGCTCAAAAACTGGAAGAAGAAAACAAGTCCTTAAGGTTAGTTTCCAGTAGAGGATCTAAACAACTCCATAAGTTTGTAGCCTTGAAGTGACTATTATATTTTGTTTAAATAGAGATGAAATAAGCACAATCAAAAAGAGAGTCAATGGGACATGCCAAGAAACTGACACTATGCAAAAGAATGCTGAGGAAATTGTGAGTGTTTGGTCTAAAGTATTATGGAGTAGAAATGTCAGCACTTCTCAGTATGGTGTTTGTGAATTGGTTTTGTTTATGTTTTGAACAGTGGGAGCGTCTGCAAGAAGAGATTACAGTAAAGGAGAAACAGATAGAAGCTGTGGAAGCAAATGTGATAAAGAAAATACTAATTCTGAAAATATTTTCTCATTCTGTGATACTAACAACTCCATTCCTTTTTAGCTTCAGAATCTCAGGAAGACATTTGAAAAGAAATTTAAAGTGCAGGAAGAGTTCAAGAACGAAGTATGTAACAACCATGACACTCTAGGTTGTTAGGACAATAGGCACTGTTATAAAGTTTGTCTTCATTGTTAACTTTCAGAATAAAATTCTCAAGAAACAAATTGCAAAAGAAACTGCTAAATCTACTCAACTAGAAAAGACGGTTGGTTGACTTGAACTTTTGTTTCTATAAAATTTAGTCATCAGCAACAATAAACATTTGTATTATTGTTCATTCAACAAGTTAATGCACCCTCAATTTGTGAAAAAGAAAAACAATTGTCTTTTTTTGTTGTTGTTGTTTTAGATCTACAAGCTTCAAAAGGAGTCCAAGGACTATAAGACAATGAAAGAGGAAGATTATCAGAAAATGCTTAAGGATCTTGAATCAAAATCAGTCTTAACAGCAGATCTTGAAAATGAGGTCAGTCACAGGATTATTGTATTGTTCTTTTCTGATTTTATTGACAGTGTCAAAATTAAGATAAAAAATTTATGTTACAGGTTCAAAAGCTCAAATTAACGACAGCAGAAGCCATTAAGAACAAAGAAGATGCAGAGCTCAAGTGCCAGCATAAGATTGCAGATATGGTAGCACTGATGGATAAACACAAGGTATGATATAATTAAAGTTGCTTTTGTAATTTAAAATAGTCTATTTGTTGTTGCTGTATTTGTTGTTTGATTTGTCATTGCTAGAGCCAGTATGACCGCATGGTTGAAGAGAAGGACATGGAGCTTCATAAAAACAAGAAAAAAGAGACAGAGGCAGTTGCTCGTGCAAAATCACTGGTATGATTTTTTTATATATATATAATTTAAGGAATTATAATTTCTTTTTAATGAAAAATATTTTCTTTTTAAATCTCACTTAAGGAGTTGGACTTGTCAAAACAGAAAATAGAAAATAACCAACTAAAGAAACAGTTGAAGACAAAAGACACAGAAAAGGTAGATCCCTAATTAAATAAAATATCTTTCTGGCCTTGAAAACTAAAGTTTGAAAGACTGAAAGATTTTACATGTAAAAATGTGTCATTTTAAGGCACTTCTACAAAAAGAAGTAACTGATTTGAAGAAAGAAACTTCTACTACAAAGGTGATGCAATGTTCACAAGCAAACAAGCAGGTAATCTCAGCATTTAGTGTGGCATAAGTAAGCAGATTTGTTATTATTTGCACTTACCCCATAAATAATCTTTTATCTTTTTAGTCAATTACACTTGACTCTGAAAAAGAGATAGATCTTCAAAGTCATACTCCAGTGGAAGACTCAATAAAGAGATACATTTTTGACTTTAGCAAGATCAAGAAAACCCCCTCCAGCAAGAGTCCTGCAGTTCTTAGGAAAGGTGTAAGTTTTAATTTCCAAAACACTTTTACTTAAGTATAATTGTTTTCAGTTTTTAACTGGTCTTAGTTGTTACGTTAATCAGGGAATTCAATTATTAACAATTTTCGATTCTTAACTAATGGATACATAATAATAGAAAATTTTCTGTTCACAAATTTTTTAAATTGCTTTACCTCAATTTAGCAGAAATTATTTGTATAAAGATGTCTGTTGAATTTTCATTGATAAGGTTTCAGCCTCTAAAACACCCAGGACACCAAGTGGAACAATAGCAAAGACAAGGGTAAATGCTTTTTATTTACTTAGTTGTCTGGTTTTAATGAAAATTCATAATCATTTGATCAAGACAGGAAACAGTTTTCTGAAAAATGTTCAATATGTCATATTTCCTCTGACTCTACCATATAGCCTGTTTTCAAAGAATATACTGAGACTCCAGGAAGTAATAAAAATAGGATTGGTGGAATATCAAAGATGAAAGTAATACACTCTATCTTTTTGACATTTTCCATAAGGAACAAAAACAATCATGCCTTTTTCCTGACATTTACTCTGAAAATTCTTTTACAGTCGTACAGAATAAGAACACCCCCTTCTAGTGAAAATGCAGGACAGTGGGGAAAGAACACTTTTGAACTTGACTCCAAGTCTGACAGCTCTGATCAAATTGATTTGTTTGTGAGTGCTGCTTGTTGGAATTTGCCATAAGCCTTCTTTGTTTAGCAAAATATATTCTACAATTTCTGAAACATTCCAAAGGTAATTGATTTATGTTATTTTTTCTGGTAGACGTGTACACATGAACCAGCACCAACTGTTTTGCAGCACAAACATAACATTTTCAAAAAGGTAAATATGACCATAATAATGTCACACATTATGATACAATACAACCTGACAAGGTTGAGCTGACGAGAGAAAATAATCGAGCCATTTCTTAATTTAGTTGTCTGTTTTACGATTTTTTTGTTTGTTGTCAGATTCAGAGCCCTGTTGCTCTTAAATCACCTGGGAGTAACTTGAAGCTGGCTGCAATAAAAAGAATGAGAGATGCTGGTTGGACTGCAGTGACCAACTGCGACAAGAAAAAGAAGACTAGCGATAAAATATTTGCATAGGTAATCTCAATACAGATCAGATCATAAGAACATTTTAGACAGGTATTGTATTCCTTCATACATAGATGGTTCAGATTAAATAAGTTATTTGTAATATAATTGTTCAGTCAATTAGGATTTGTTTGGAAGTTAATACAATCTTCAAGCAGTGCTTTGTTTGCTAACAGAATAGGAATGTTCTGAATTGTTCTCATCATCTCTAGTGTCTTCCTGTTTGTAAGAATGGGAATTAACTATCGACTGTTGGACAAGGAGAAAAAAGAAGAGGAGAGGAATGCCAGGATGGGAGTTAGACAACCAAATGCTAGCAGGGATAAGTCTGCCAAAGAGGTTGGAGAGGTTAGGAACAGTGAGGACACTGTTTAGTGCTCTATTACAAGTCTGCTTGCATTTTATAACGCAATCCAATGTTGTTCGAAATTATTTTTCTGTGAATAACTTGACATCAACATGCTTCTGTTTTATTATATGGTGTTTTCGAACAATACCGGTGATATCACAGACCTTTTATTAGAACCCTTTAAGCTGCATTCAACTGTCAGCATAAAATACCTCGAATGTATTACTCGCTGTTTGCTTGTCCTACAAGATATATAAGGTATATAAATGTGTATGAGATTTATGTTTAGTCAGGGGTTTTGCTAATGTTTTTCACTTTGCATAACTATATATGCTTGTTGTATTTTAATATATATCAGGATCACAGCAAAACATATATTTTGAAAGAAGTGTTTTTTTTTTTTTTTTTTTTTTGGAATGTACCACACAATCTATTTTTAGAAAGCCATTTCTCCAACCCTCAAATGTTGTTCATTCCTATAAGATATTCATTAAGAATTTGATTTAACATGTTGTTTTGTAATATAATTGTTCAGTCAATTAGGATTGTTTTGGAAGTTAATACAATCTTCAAGCAGTGCTTTGTTTGCTAACAGAATAGGAATATGTGGAACCAGCTGCAGTTTGTTGTATTTTCTGTATATATGGAAGTTGCCTTAGAAACAAATAAAAAGCAATTTATCAAAACTGTTCACTTCATTCATTGTGTTTCATAACCCACATACATTAATACATCTCATTACAGATGTATTAAGTCACATTTCCTCAAATAAACAGAGACATGAGAGAAGATTATTATGTTCATTCATTCATTCTTTATGTAGTAGTCCTTAGGGTTGTGGGGGAGCTGGTGCCAATACCCAGAATTCGTTTCGGAAGATGCAAGGTAAAACTTGAAAATTTCACCACTCCATCATAGAGCAACACAAAGTCATATAGAATATAATACAAGGTTCAGATTAAATAAATTATTCTAATCTAAAGGGTCTAGCCTTAATATTGTTCACTTCTACTTGCTTTGAATTCATAGTTCTTAAGTTTGTAGGTTTTCTTTGGAAGTTCACTGTATATGACCACAAACTCATACTATTTGTTATCTAAAAATAAGCTAGCTTTATGTTTGGAATGAACTTCGCTTTATGCTAATTTATAGTGTTAATGTGGTGACATTGTTGTAATTGAAAAAATATCCAAATAGAAAACTTTGAACAGGTTCAGTCTTAATATTTGCTCATTTATGATTTTAGAGCTCATTTTGTGAAAAACACTGATGCTCTCTTTATGTGACTACAATGTCACCCTCTTTGCTTTAAAGTTCTTGTGAAAAAATAAGTTTTTCATAATACTGTTTTTTTTGAAAATCGTTATGCTAAAAATTGTTAGCAATTCCCTTAGTTCTGTCTACATAAACCTTTTTTTTATTTTGATGAAGGTGTTATTTGAATATGTTTGTTTTGTCATTCCCACAAACTAATAAAATAATTTAATTAATTATAGTTACATCAGTCATTGTTTTTCATCATTACTTCCAGTATGATTTTCTGTTGGTAAATAATTTAATTCCACAGGTTATTTTTAGTCCTGAAATAATACTGATCCATGGAGGAGAAATGGGATTATGTCCATGTCCATATAAATGGCTTATCACTGTGATTTAGCATAGAGGTCTCTCTTTAATGAAGAAATTCTAGGCGAAATTGTGACGGTTCTGCAGGATTGGGTGGCACATTGTCGTAGATTGGATGGGCATCATAAAGTCCTCCAGAAATAACAAGGGTGTCATCATCGAGCACAAATCCATCTGTTGAAAATTAAACAGTTGCTTTTATCAGGTAATGGTGACTGAAAGTGATTGGATTTAGTACTTGATAAAGAATCAACCTTTACCTGTGCCATCTGTGGTGTCAAGAGGTTGATGCAAGTACTGGAATTTATGTTTGCATTTGTAAACCATGATCATAACTATTGTCAAAGCAAAGAGCCCAAGCATGCCGCTGAAGATTATTGTCATATTTCTCTCTGATGTGTTAAGTCTCAAGCCTAACAGTACAGAAAGGTAAGGCATTAAAATCATTGACATAACCAGTGGAAGAAAAATATGTTAAGTCATTGAACATGGACACATATACTTACCGTCTGTAGCATTCACTGAAACTGTAGGTGCAGTCATGCTGTGAGATGAGTTTACAGTTGAACCTAGTGTATCAGATGTAGTACTGAAATGTGTTGTAGTCTGGATAGTTTGCGTGGTCATTGTAAGCACAGGCGATTGTGTGGCTGGTGTAGTGGTGTTTAGTGATCCACTGCCTGTTGGTGAAGTCAAGGTAGCTGACTGAGAGGTTTGATGTTGACTTATGCTTTCAGTTGCAGCCACTGTAGTAGAGAAGGTAGTATTGCCATGCTTTGTGCTGGTATGTTCGGCTGTGCCCTTGGTTGAGGTTAAGAGAGTAGTTGGAGTTACAGTAGAGTTAAGTGAAGTTGATGCTACAAAGAATTCTGTCAGGTTTAGGCCAAGGTTTGGAGGAGTTGTGAAGGTTACATTCTGGTTGTCCATATGTGCCATTTTAAAAGAAAGTACCAGGAGGAAATAAACCAGGGGTCCCACGATAGTTTCCATAGAGGTTAATCCTGTTTTGGGAAGCAAAACATGAAAATCCTTGTCAGATTAAATCCTTGTTGCAATGTTTTAATTCTGTTTTGAGATTAAATTTTCTTTTTTAATCCTAGCAGTAAAAACGGTTCTATATTGTGCTTTTGTCGGCAGGTTCTTTATATTTTAAAATTTTAGATAATATGTCCAGAAGGAAACACATTTAAGAAGACTGAGCATAGCTATGTCCAAATGCCTTAGATTTTGTGTTTACTTAATGTATTCTTTTATACTCATTTACAGTAGAAACTAAGTCTACACCATATTTAAATAATGATTATCTTTTACTTACAAAATTAAAGTGATAGCTCACCTTGTTTTACCGAAAAGAGAAAAAATTGTAATATTCAATTTCTTGGTTTGAAGTCTGCTTTCACGGACTCTTAGCTCTCTTCCTGGAACAGCTAAAAGATTATCTGGATCTCGAACAGGTAAAAGTGGGCAGGACAGTTCCTCTTTTGTTTGTTTCCAAGGAGATGAAGGAGTGGTTACAGCCAGTCCAAAGCTCAAACTCTACACTTCAGCAAAAATATGTTTTATTACCATTAATAAACACAGACATTGCCATCTAATCATCAACTGCATTTTAAAAATTTCCCCTTAGTTTTTTTAATTTTTTATTCTTATTTCAACCATGTTGTATATTGTTCTCTAAAGTGAGTTTTTGTGAATGTTATGTGAACATTTGAAGTCATGTACATTTTAACAGTAGAAAATATTTATAAGTAGGAATATTTTTCAGATCTTTCATAAAGAGTGCACAGTTTTCATAGAAAAATAAACAGAAGTCAAAATATGTTCAAAACAATTACACCTTTCAACATATTTCAAAAACACAAATGTATTTCTGTTTCAGAGTAAAAAGCAGAATACATGCCAGGTAAATGTGTTTTTAAAAAATCAATAAAAACAAAACAAATGGAAAAGGTTGCATAGCAATAATCTATAAACACCACTAAAATATAAAACAGAAGGCATCTTAATCAACGCAAACAACCTGGTGCTGTTTAAATGCCTTGCTATTTAAGTACTTAATAAGGAATATAATGTTTTTTGATTTTGATCTTTTTACTCTTGAGTGTAAATAGTAGATAAAATGTAGCAAGTTTTCAGTATGATCAATAAAATACAATATTGTTACTTTTTTTAATATATATATATACAAAAAAATCCATAAATTATTTTAGGTATGTTTAATAAAGTGAGTAAAGATAATAGCATTATAGTTTTGTTGCATATTCAGATACTTTCATTTCATCCATCGCCGTAAATGCTTTGTTGTCAATCCCCAAGTGAAGGTCCGCTGGAGCTTTTTTCATTTCATCAGATGCCTGCAAGGAGTTAACAATAGTGTCAGATTAGGAACATTTAAAGAGCACACTTGGTAAAATGTCACTAATTAGCTAACAACATGATGAGGTCAGCATTTTACCTTTGAATTGTTGCAACCACTGAAGCACATCAAGTCACTCCTCCTCACAAAGAGATCAGAGTTCATCTTCCTTTGCTTGCATCCGCCTATAAAACAGACATAATCACATTGTTGTTTTACTTTTGATCAACCATTTAAATTAAATATTTCATATACTTGAAATTTTAGTATTTTTAAAGTAGAGCCTTTAGAAGTAAACCCTTACCAGTGACTATGCTCAAGAGTAGGCCAGACACCATTGTGGTCAGCATGCCAAAAAGAGAAAAGTAGAGGTAGGACAGAGAATACCAGGAGTCTGCTAGAGGAGGCCTGAAACTAAAAATGAATCGATTTAGTATTTTGCCTTCCAGCAAAATGTACTTAAAACAACTGCCGACAAGTAACAATTTCACTCTGACTAAATCCAACTGAAAGCCATAATACCACTTAAAAGATCTGAGAGTAACATGTAGGCTATGTCTAGAAATAGAAGGTAAATTCAATGAATTTCAAGTTTTGCCAGAGGTTTATGTATGTTTTACTTAATTAGAGTGTGTTACACTCATGGTCAAGTGACAATTGCAAAGCAGTCAACACGGACAAGCATAAGAATTTAAGCAAGTTTGTCAAAGGCCGTATGGTCAGTATCTTTTCAAATTGAAACAAGACAAGAAAAGAAGGATCACTGATTCACTGCTGCCACATTTGGTCTGATTAAACAGCTGAGCTACCTTAGTTAAATTCAAACTACTGATAAAATTTGAGAGTAGACAACTGCATTGCAATCTGTTGAGCATAACCAATCAGGGTCATAATGTTACATCTGATAGGTGTATAAAGAATGAAGCTTAAACAAAATTTCCCCCCCCAAAAAAACATTGTTGCAAAATGAAAGAAGAAGAAAAAGAAATGCTTTATAAGCAGGTTTCTGCTTTGTAAATAAAAAATAAATAAAAATACTAACTCTGGTTGTGGAGTCATAGTTGCTGGGCTGGTCCATGGAGATGCTGTGGTGCTATTTTGGTCCACTGTTTTATTGCAGCCAACAGTAGTGAGGGAAAGGGGAAATGTCTTGTCAGCTGTTGGAGGGTAAAGCTGAGCTCCAATTCCCACCCACAAAGTTAACACCAGACCAGTGATCAATCCTCCCAGTGCTCCCTGAAAGGTAAATATGACCTCATTCAACTTCCACATCAGGGTGTCACATTCCTGTTTTGTTACTGCATATTTTCTGTTTTCTTAAGGTTCAGCAAGAAAGCATTCCAGGACAATAAAATACTCACTGTTGAGTTTGTTGTGCGGAAAAGCATGCCTAACAAATAGAGGCCAAGAAGAGGTCCACTGATCATGCCAAATATGGACAGAGCTGCCTGAAAATAGAAAAATGTTGACTTGTAGTGCATAAGAAGTACCACTTGATGGTGCTGTAGAACTATAACTGTAACAATATTGCTTTTATTCTAACACAATTTTACCTGCAGAACACTTCCCATTGCTGAAGCAACTCCAGCCATTCCAATACACAGGCCTCCAAAAAACACACCTGGGTGTTGGCAAAATAAAATAATAATGATAATAATATAAAAAACAAAACAGTCAAACGTAGGCAAAGATAAAAATCAGCAAAAATTGTATTGTCACTTTTCTGCGGTTGCACAGAAAGGACATTTCTATTCTATTCTACAGTTTTTTTGCTTTTTTAGATATTTTTATTAGGAAGTACTCATGAACAAAAACTATTGGGCTATGCAGCCAAGTAAATTTAAAAGTTTATCTCACAAGGAGAGATCAGCCTTCATTTGGGTTTCAAAAGAATTTCTGAGAACCAGATTAACTGCTCTTGCATTTCTCAGTAAATCAGTAAAGAGCAGCACTACATGTTAACCTATCTGTTGCAAGTTATCTAGCCTGGCACAATTCAGCTTGTGGGAAGTCAGTGCTGTGACTTCTCTACCCACAGCTATTAAAGCAGCAGCCATATGTGATTAATTTGCAATCATACAATGTACTGGAAGTTCAGACTGTTATCTGCTAATGAAAACTACCACTTTTCATTGGCAGATAATGTCATTTGTGGCTTTTCATTGGTCTTAACTGTTAGTAGTCAACAGCTATTTTTGTACTTTGTGGTTGCTGTCCATCCATCTAGATAAATAGATTAGTACATAGGCAGGCAAGCAGGCAGGCAAGTAGGCAGATATAACTCACTCAGGCCCATGTTCATCCAGGTAACTTGTTTAGGTGTGAAATCTTTGTAGAATGGAAAAATGAAATCCTCCACAGTGACAGCAACAAGAGCATTAATACTTGAGGACACCGTGCTGAAAGAAGTGCAAAGGTAAAGTTTCACAAACTTAAATCAGAAGCGTATAAATGTAAATGGCTGCATAGATTAGTATAAGGTCCCATGCAAATTTCTATGTTAAATGTCTAAGCACACAGTTATATGTTGGTAAGACAAAGTCGTGTCTTGCGTGTTTTATACCTCTTATCAGGAGGAAACATTTCCTTATCACTACATAATTTCTGGAAGTAATTTAATTTTTATTCCTTCTTTGTCTCAAGCCTTACCTGAGGGTACCGCTGTAAGCTGCAGCCACAAACAGGCCTGGAATTCCAGGATAGACTTCCAGAATATCCATCACAAGGTATGGCAGCAGCTGGTTCACAAATACAAACCAATACTATTGTCAACCAGTATTTTGTTACCCAACTAAAAGGTATATTGTGCATGGGAAGATAAGCAATGTAAAAAATACTATGGTCACCTGGTCAGAAGTACTTATATCCCCATTTGAAAGTGGGTCACAGTTCTTGTAAATGGAGTACATTGTAAGACCAGAGAACATAGCAAGACTCACTGTCGCCCATAAACCAACCATGTTGATATACAGAGACCTGAGGGAAACATGACCTGTTAGTGCTTGAATTTTTGCTCACTGCCAGAGGATTATTTAAATTTTATTTGAGTGATGCTCACAACTTGGCTTGTCCCAAGGTTTTGCAGGAGATATAGCGCTGCACCTGGGACTGGTTAATGGAGTAGATAGACACCCACATTATGCTACCACCAATCACTATAGACCAGAAAGTGTGCCGCTTGAGAGGATCTGGGTCAAAGCTGAGAAAAAGATCAACAATGAGAAAGAGAGAGTTTAGAACATGTCCAAACCACAGCATATTTGTTGCTCTCAGGTTTCTTTTTTTTATATTTTGCTAAATGAACTGGCATTCTATTCAAGTCTATTCATGTTTTCTTGAATATCTTGAATACTCTGATTTGGAAAAAGAGGTTCTTTTGATGTCAAAAGGTATTTAAAATTATTGTTATTAACATACTCAAAAGCTACCAGTCGGCCTCCTTTTGCAGCATCTTCCCAAATTACAGATAGACCTCCTTGTATTACGGCTCCTCTTGCTATTACAGCTATAAATCCTGCCAGCATGATCACCATCTGCAGTACGTCTGTCCAGATAACTGCTTTCAGGCCACCCTGTGACAGAATTCATATGATCAGGCGAGGGGTTCATTTTGATTTGTTTGATGTTAATTTAGGTCATTCTTTGTTTGTTCAGGGTTTGATCAAGGTTATGGTTTACTAAACATTCATACTATGAACTGAATAATGAATATCAGTTGTATTACAAACTTCAATATGATTTGAGAACCCCAGAGTTCAAATGCAGTATTTTTTGGTAGAATTCAAAAGAACAGAATGGCAAACTTTAAGTTAAAGATTTCATTCTCCATTAAATTTATTTCAAACATGAATTAAGTTATCTGGAATAAATACTTATTTTTGACATAATAAGACAATACGAACCAGAGTACAATAGATGATGCACACTGCCCCCGTTGCCACCAGCACTCCCCAGAGATCCAGCCCGGTAACTATGCAATTTTGAAAATTCTCCATTAAAATTAAATATACATTGTGTAACTTTCCATCTTTTCTTTTGGATATAACAGCTGTATCTGTGTGAGCAGATCAAACCAATTTTTTTGTGTGTTAAGACTTACTTTGGTTAAGTGCAAGAGCTGGAGCATAAATAACTAAGCCTGTGTAGAGAGCCTGAAAAACAGGACCATTAAGAAATTAGTTCCAAACACAATGTGGTCATATTTATATCGTCATGGCACAGATATCTAGAATCAGTAATGCATGACGTCAAAATGAGAAAAGAACAGATGTTTGCTAATTTAAATGTGCATCATTAATTTTTTTTGTATCTTTTGATTTTTATATTGAATCAGTAATCTGAATATTTATGATTGTTCTAATTGATTATCCTATTTTAATTAAAAAGGCATGGGTTACCGTCTGCACAATGTACATGGATGTTCCGATCAGCCGGATTATCCGATTAAAGCGCCGTTCCAGGTACTGAAAAAAAAAAAAAATCCATGTATAAACATCATTCCAAGCGTATAGCTAATTTGAAAAACAACATACAATTTTCTCTCTGTTTTCGGTAAATTGTCAGGATTTGTATTTCATTTTACATGATCTTGAGATTTTTTTCTTGTGTTTTTCAGATCTTATATTATCATATAACTTATATCTTCTTTTACCTGACTTTTTAACTTATTTTGTAAACACAGTAAAATTATTTAAGCATCTAAATAGCACCTTCACGCTGGGATATCTTACTCGTAAAATGTCAAAGAGCTTGTACCAATCCATCTATCTTCCCAGAACTTCAGCATTGTTTCCTGGTTATGTTCTTACAACTACAAAATATGCATTTGATAAATTATGAGTTCATTACTCTAAGGATCTTGACAAAAGTAAATAAATCAGCTGATACAAAGATGAGGCATTTGCAAAGTGTTTTCTAGACTTTTTTCAGTTTCTTGATGTCCTAGTTTTAATGTTCTATTTATCCTCTTTTTTTGTTTTTTTGCCAATCTTAAAAAAGATAAAAGGTATTTTGTCCCAGTCAAAGTGTGCTGTCTTAGGCTTGTTCTGATTCAACCAAAGATGTTTTGAAGACATTATGTTTTTTGGAAGGCTGTTACCAACACAGAACCTTCCGACAGAATAACCTTAAAAGCTTTTTTAGCCAGTAAGTCACAGTCTATTGTTAGATGATTTATCCTAGTATACAATAGTTTACAGTGCATAGCATCTTCCTACCTCATAGGCACTGGTGATCCCCAGTCGGTAGAAAAGTGGTACAAATAATTCAGCAGTGATGGCAGACATGATAGCATAAGAAAAACCAAAGATCCAGAAGGCAATGCCAAACCGGTATGCCTCTGCAGGTGTGCCAATGACTGTGATGCCAGACATGAAGCTGGCTGTCAGGGACATGGCGACTGGCACAGCTGTCATTTGTCGTCCACCTAACAAAAACTCTGCACTGCTGGTCTCCTTCCGGCCCCGGATGGCTTGAAAAAGGCCGATGCTGGCTGCTCCCAGAATCGTTCCAGCAAACACCACATAATCCCAAGTAGAGAAAGTGGCCACTGGGCCACCTGTTCCAACCATTGTTGAGTTACAAAAGAATTGGAAGTTTCTTTGAACCTAAAATCACAGTAAAGGAAAATATTTGGAAAATACAATCGTGCTGAAGTACATGTAAAACATCATAAACATTATAAAAAACTACACTGACAATAAAAAAGAAGCTTCTTCTTTATTGAATAAATTGTCAAATTCATTTTAACTTACCTCTACTTTTAAAAATACCTCCTCAAACCTTCACAAAGTGTTGATGCTTCCAACCACTTAAGTTCTACCTTACCTTAATTTTGTCACTTCAGTGATCAGTAGTTCATTGATAGTTCCACTACCTCTCGTTCAACTGGAAGTAGTCTGGTCAGCTCTAATGCATTCAGCAGGGAATAAAGTTTAGTTCACTTAGGTTAATGATTCCTCAAGGACACAAAGCAGTGAAGCCTGGAATAAATTCAGAGATTGTAAAATAAAACGATTTGTTGGTGCATCTCCGGTTGTGCACCGGTGACAATTAAAAGGTTCTTTGCTGACAATAAATCTATGTGCATAAAATAAAGTGATGCAGTGACACATTGATGGTAGGTCTGTTTGTGTCTCCTGGTTACACAGTACCTTTTGGTTAAATAGAAAATTCAAGGGGGAGGGAAAGTTGAGTCTTCAGGGTTTGGTCTTCACTCCTTCCTCTATATCATATTGTCACTTTGATACTATTTCTTTACTTAGTGTTGTCATCTTTCATTACCTTTACAGCATATTATGTCAAAAGAATGACTATTTTTTAAATATAAATATTCAGCTTAAAACAAAAAAATATAATTTCAGACATACTATTTATAAATATTTAACTGTTTGTCGTTTTGTGTATGTGTCAAATAAGATTTTGCCACCATGAGATTTTATATTTTAATATGTCTGCTTCATAAGAATTAACTGTAGAACAAGCAACAATAATTTAAGTGTTTCATAAAGGTGACAGGTGCTAATAATGTTTTCATAAGATTTATATAGATTTATATATTATTTAAGATTTATGCAGAGAACCAGTGAGTTACCCTGTTACGCTAACGGTGATTCACACTCGGACATGCATTATTCTTTGTCACTGATAAAGGATAAGCCTAGTAGAGATAAATATGATGAGATGCTGACAATACTGTGAAAACAATTGTGACATAAGAGAGGAATGACTATAACCTTTTCAACATGTCCATTTTACATGGAACACATTTCCTGTGTGTTTGTCTGTATGAATCCATCTGAACTAAAAACAAATAGCAGATAATCCCCGAAACATCAGTGCGTTCAAAACTGCTGCATTTTGCTTTATAATCATTTAATGTTTCCAAGACACTTTGACTAGTTTAGCCAATCATTACTCAAAATTACAGATAAGAAGTTCCTGCTTAATGCTTTTGTCAGGTGTTTTTTTTTTTTCTAGTTTTTATTTGACAGAAGTTTTTTTTCGACCGATGGCTTTACTGCCAATGCCCACTATGAAAGAAGATTAGATAAACCTGAATGAAAAGTGTGTGCTCTGCCAATTTGTTTTTACCAGCGTACATCTTTGCTGACGTCTGTTTTTAACTGACAACCAAAAACATAATTCAGATACACAATAACGAACACAAAGACATTATTACATCTTAACTTCTGTTAATTTTTAATCCAAAAAAGGCTGATTTGTTTTGAGTAAAGTGGTTAAAACCAGTCTTTGACCCATGTAACACCTCATAACTTATTGTGTCCGCACAAGATTTGTGGCACTTTGTGACATCTAGTGGACACTGGATAAGACATTGCTTTTGGACAGAATTACATTGTTGTTTTCATTGTATTATTCATTAAGAACATCAATATGTTCATGTCATCTACAAAATGGGCTAAATGTTCAGTGCACCTCTTTCGTCACAGATAGAAGATAGAAGCTTTGATTAGTATGGGTTAGATTATGTTTGGGTATATATATGTCTATACAGTTTATCAAGAATGTTCAGACTCTGAACATTACTAGATCTGTAAGTGACCGCATCTCTTAGGCTTGGTTCTTTTGAGCAAAGAAAAGTCATTGATGTAATCCTATGTTTTTTGCTTTGCTTGTCTTTCATTACTTTACAGGACCAAACCTGGTTAAGGGAAAACCACCTGGCTGAAAATGGAGACATCCGTGTTCAGCTGCTGGGTTCTTTTTCTGCTGATTTATCCCGTTGTTCCCATGTGTCTTCCCACACAGTTCACATTGTTCGTGGAAAAGCCAGAATGTGACTATTGTGTAGCGATCAACACTACTATCTGCATGGGAGTTTGCCTCACAAAGGTATGTATTTCTTTGTAGTAACATAGAAAATGCTTTTAATTTTAATTTGTGAAAAAAGTAACAGTTTGTTGCACAGATGTCATACAGTGTAAACCACAAGCACAGACATTTCCTGTGTGCTGAGAAAAATAAAAATGGATTAATTACTTCTGCTATGACCTAAGTCTGTTAGTTACAGTCTCATGCATAGTAGTTGTGTAGTCATTCTGACAAAACTTTTGTTGGCCAGTTTTCTAGTTTAATTTTGGTAAGATTAGCTATTATTTCTTGTATATTATTTGGAAACTCAAATAATCATAGATACACACTCTTTGTATGTTTGTGTCCCAGTCAAATGGGTTTTTCACAGGTTGATTCATCAGTTGTTTCCCATGTGTTTGTGAATCACACAGGACACCAACATGAGGGATATTTTCCGCTCACGCTTCGTTGTTCAGAGAAGTTGCACCTATGATAAGGTGGAATACCGTACAGTCATTCTGCCAGGCTGTGCTATCGACTCCAACCCTGCATATACCTACCCAGTAGCTATCAGCTGCCACTGTGATGCCTGCAGAACAGACAGGGATGAATGCACACTCAGACTCAACAGCTACAATGCTAACTGTGTTAAACCAGTCAGGCGCGTTTATCCTTATCCTGGTCAGAGCAACTACATGATCCCATTTTAATTCTTCTGTCTATCTAAGAAAATAAAGGTTTTTACTTCTTATCTTATAATATACCATTGACAATTTGCACTGTTCCATTCTATTTGACTAATTTGACATTTTGTTTTCTAGTTTTTATTTGTCAGAAGTTAATCTGTTTGTCGACTAACAAAGTTATATTTTGACATCTTAGTTCACAGTTCATTCCATATATTTTTCTTAGCATGGTTTCCATACTCTTTCTTCCAGACTTTCATTATTTACTGTTAAATAAATTCTCTGAGTGAAAACCAATTAAAACTTCATCATCTAAATGACTCTGAATCAGATGTTCTTGAGTTAATCACATTCTGTTTCTTACCGTAGCTGTGTGTTTACTATATAACAAACCCAATGCTGTTTATATCAACAAGTCACCTCCTGATTCTATATTTACCTGTGAAGTTATTCTGAGAAGTATGCTATTGTTGACACAACTTTTCTTTTGAATGGAGTTAAACCGGCAAATATAAAATCTGAAAAACTTGGTATACTGTTTACAGGTTATTCTAAACAGCACATTTAATATGTCTGTTTGTTAGCAGTGTCTATATTTCACCCTAAATGGGGTTCATGCTAGTAGAATGTCCACAAAGGGAGTTCGAGAGACAGCTGGAGAGTATAAATAGCTCAGAATTTTGAGTGAGACAATGTTTCATAAAGTCATCCTCCAGGGTGATGTGACATTGGTCTTTCATAATCACTGATTATGTGAAGCTTTTAATATATTTTCCTAAAACATGAAGATATTTTAATGCTTTTTGTTGGTTGTAAATCTAAGAGATTCTCACAAATTTACTTAAATATAAAATAACAAAAGCATTTAACTAAAGGGCCCCAAATTAGATTTCCAGTGTGTTCCTGCTTTGTTAAAAGGAATTGCCAAGAGTTTAAAGTCTACATTAACTTTGTTAAAAATGTATATTAGAACCAGAACTTAAATCCAGTTTATAAGAAAATATGTACTAAAAACTGCTCAACAAAATGTTTACAATGACACAACCTAAAAATCTGATCCTCTGTTTGGCTTTGCTGTCAGCTGACATAAATAAGCTCTACATCTAAGTCTTGTGACACAGGAGAGAGAATATTTGTGAAGTTACGAGTCTGACCCATGTAGATTTTAGAATGGGTTCTCTCAAAAAGTCATATACAATGGAGGAAAAGAGAAGAAATCAAATTAGGTATGGCCATTTTGATTTTTAACATCAAGGTATTGCAGAGGAAAAGTTTACAATTGATAAGTTTCAGTTTTATTTCGTTGGCCACTCATATTTTATTAAACAAATTGCAGGTGGAAAATTATTTATCAGGGTATAAAATGACATGTAACCGAAAAAAAACCAACAAGTTTACCATAATCAAAGTAATCAAACCCTTCTCATCATTGCTGACTGTATTTTGAACATTTTGCATTGGTATTTTGATGCTTTGTCTTTGTGGATTCTCTTCAACCTAAACTTTAGCTCTTACAGTATCTAAAAGTGGAATGGAAGGCAGCTCTCATCTGCCAGCTCAGTTCCACTTCAATTAAGGCACGTTGCAAACCCAAGCATTAGCCAAAGGGATTTACAAAGCAAGCTAAACAGAAAAGTAAAAGAAAGGGTATATTTTGTTCATCCTACAATATTTCATAACATACTGAATACGGATTGCTATTCTCACTTTCTTTTCCTGAATCACAGCTGCTACAGTTAACAATGGGTTTGTTTATTTGTTTCTTTGTGTTTGCATTCAAAATCCAACAAGAACATAAAATCAAGTTAAGTCAAGTTTATTTGCAAAGTACATTTCAGTAACAGGGCAGTTCAAAGTGCTTTGCACAATACAAAGACCTGCAATTATGAATATTTTCAAGAGCCAACAAGTTGAACTAGGTCATTATTCCTGAATCTACTTCTGACGAAACACTGGAGTAAAAAGGAAGCACTCAAAATAAAATTGGCTCATTTGATTTACAAAGTCGTTTGGATATGACTCTTAAACCTAACATGTGATAGGTCACTGTGGCTTAAACTGGCTGGCTGTAGTTGTGTTTTGTAAACCCTAGTAACCTAAAGGACGAAACAGAGATTCCAAAGGAATTTGCTTGCCTCAGCACTGCATGGAGACCAGCTATGTGATGAACATGCCAATCACTTTTTCAGTCAAACATCATACACTTTTGACTGTTTAGTTTATTCCCCTGGGCAAAGCAGTGACATGTTGAAACAACTCCTGACATCTTCTACCACAAGATTAGTCTTACATCAGCAATATATTTTTTGATCCTGATAAATTTGCTCAGTGAGTAACACCTGACACATGTAAGCTAAGAAGTAACAGATTATACTTCCTTTAGTCAGTCAGCTCCTATTCAAAATATGTTAAGTAGCTGTAATAGATAAATACTATGACAACTGGCTGCTGAGCTACATTAGATACTTTTTAAATTTGTGAGAACCAAAAATTTCAGCATGCAATTTTATTTAAATTGTAGAAAAAAAATACATGTGAAATTGTATTAATTTATTAAGGCTTTAATCTACTAAAGCCTTAATTTGGTTTGTTTTATTCCCACACATATCAACTGGTTGTCTATTAATGCTAATAACTGATTGACGTTAATGCCAGCTTTGCAAAAAGAACTTGCTTGACTTGCAAATAGTGTGCACCACTCTGTGTTACACAAGCTTTTAGCCCTTGGTTATATACATAGAACCGATTCCTGGTAATTTCTCAGAATATTTTTCAAACCTTTCCAGAAACAAACCCCCTGTGTTTAGCATTCAGCTTGAAATATTCCAAACTGTTTCCAGTAACTTAAAACAAACTTTTCTAGAAGAATTTACCAGATTTCTGTGAAATTCTAAACCTGCAAGCACATTCTCAAAACTTAAGTTACATTTCAGCAGCTATGAAGAAATATAATTTTTTTAATCATTCTGGCAGAGTGCTAAAGAAGGGAAGGACATAGATTAGTACATCATATTAAAATAATCATTACAGGAAATTTGAAATAAAAGTAATGCTATCCAAAGCACCAAGTTTTTTTTAAAGATATAAAATACAGATAGCCCTTATGCATTATATCATATCTTTCTCATTTATACTGAGTTGAATAGTGAAAAGGAAGCGGGACAAGAGTATAAAGTCTTGTTAAAATAAGCCTGTGATACTACTATACTATTATTATTCTTAAATGAATGGCAACTTTATTAGAATGGAGACAATCCTTTAAGAAATCAATAAATTAATACATTTATCTGAAAACAAATCGGTGCTTCAATAAGCTTCATTTTGCATAACTACACAAATTTAAAATTTGAGTTCTTTTAACAAACATGTTTTGGTTCAAAGAAGAATATTTGTTGTAAAACTATAAGCTGATCCGGAGTAGAATCGAATAGAGAACAGAGAGATCTAGTTCCCTTTTGTGAATCCATCAACGCCCATGCTTCAGGGCTCTTCAGCCATGACATATTTAGTAGGACCAAGTCAATCTTAAATTAGCTGTGACTAGACCCAAAACTAAAAGCATGTTAAGAATGAAAAATATATTTTGAGAGTCTAGCGCCAAGCTTTTCTATTAAGGGATTTTAATTTTAATTTTGAGCTTTTTTAATGAATAGATTCTTTTTACATTTAACCCCGGCCATCTGCTTCGTTCCATCCAGCCACTCGCTTGTTTCATTTTCCGGGCTCTGATTGGTTTAACATTTTAACTGACAGATCAATCGGCCAACGGGGACGAAAGGAGGAGCGATATCTGAACTCTGATTGGTTCTAATGGAGACGTCTCAACTCTAATTGGTTATCATTAAAAGGCGTATGGGGTAAATGTATTTGTCACTATAAGACCAGTGGAAATTTCCAGTCGGTCTATTCATTGCTGTAAGGCGGAGGTGAAAAGTGGTAGAAAGCGAAATAACGGCTTATAACTCTTCTTACAATTATCTGGTAAGTACCTCGCTATATTTACGTTTTAGTGAACCAAGAATCGATTTTGAATAATCTAATTTGAGTTCTTAGCTGTCTTATTTAGTTTGGCGGACTGTGATGATTTGAATGGATGCTTTACGTTGCTTGCTAGAGTAAAGTATTTTGCTGTTCCTTACATCAAGCTGAAAACGCCATAAGGTCTTAGTATTGGTTGGTATTGTTCGCAACTATGACACGTTTTCAGTTGCCCTGAAGTAAGAAAATTATTTGCTACCAAACTTTTATCCTAATCTAACGCCGAAGAAGGAATTCAGTTATTGAAATTATGAGAAGTAAACTTGTCCTGCTAATTTAGATATGTGCTATATGTAGCTACACACTTTCCTTACGAAGAAACTTGTTTTTATCTAACTTTTAGCCAGTAAATTTCTGTAAAATTTCTATGGAAACGTCTGGAAAAGGGCGGGAGTGCCCTTTTAAGGCGTTCCGGAATGTAAATAGGACACGCCCACGTTGTGGTGAGTGGGGACATCACGACATGTGACTCTGAGGCATATAGATAAGTTTAAACCTGCAGCTCGGGGTGGGTGGGATAAGTTTAGTGCTTAAAAGTCTGGCTACTCAGGGTCCTGTTGACTTTCTGGTTTTATCTCTCCAGGACACCATTTACAAGCTTAACTGCAAACACTTGATTCTACATTTCTCCATTTTACCATCTTTTATCTTCACTTGTGACATATAAGAGTCAGCATGTCTCAGCAGCAGATCAGGTAAGTCTCATTCACTGTTTTCCTGCTCCTCATAATATTAACCTCAACAGAATTATCTATAAAAAGTAATCTTACAGTTTTACTTTTTAATATTTTTTTATTTGGATTATTTTAAATAAGTAATGTGTTCATTATGCTTCAGTAAAACAGTTTTCTCTGTTACCTTTCAGCCTCCCTGCCAAACTCATTAATGGCGGTATTGCCGGTATTGTTGGGGTTACATGTGTCTTCCCCATTGACTTGGCTAAGACCAGGTTACAGAACCAAAGAAGTGGGCAGCAAGTCTACAAGAGCATGTAAGTATTTATAGCTGCAATCTACACAACACGGATGTGTGGTCTCTGGGCATTACATCTACTATGTCTGTGTTTAATCCGGTGCCATCCTTTCTAATTCCACAATGACGCATTAATGGAATCACAGTCACTGTGTCCTGACCTGATGGGTTGTGACAGCTGTGCATTGTTGACACTCCTGTTTTTTTTTTTTTTTTTTTTTAGGAAGTCGTTTAGCTCATTTGAGTGGAATTTTTACAGCCCAAGCTAATATTCTAGAATGTTCTTGTTACCTTGTGCAACAAGTTTATGAAATGTTTCTTTCTTTTTGTTTAATGAAGGATGGACTGCCTTGTGAAAACTATTCGATCAGAGGGATACTTTGGAATGTACAGAGGTAAGATTATACACTTGATTATTAAGAAGCTTTGCGTTAGAACATTTTTATAGGATTAATTTTAGGAAAATGGTAATCTCAGTGTCTAGCTGTTCTTGGTTTTTGAAGTAAAATCAAAGTAAATGTCAAAACCAATTCCAATTTGATGATGCTATTAAACACGGTATGTCACTTTTTTTTTTTTTTTTTAACGTGTTTAAATCTGCAAAGAAAATGGAGACCATTAGGCTAGGCGTTTGCTCTTGTGAGGAATGCTGTTGTTTGCATCTGTGTTTTTCCATATTACAGACTTGGGTCCCCCTGGGATATTGAAGGCTAGCCGATAAGGCGCAGCCACGATGGAGGCAAATATTAATGGTTCTTACGATATTGCTCTACTTAAAACTATAGGTTCAAGTTTTATGTTTTGCCATCTGTTCTGTAATTTGACTTCTTGTCATTAACTCCTTGCTTGTCTCTTTACTGTCCTGTCAACCTGTCATTGTGTGTTCTTTCCTTGACTATAGCATTCCAGTCTTTGTTTAATCTTGCAAATTAATCTGGTCTGAACTAAAGTTTTTTTTTTACATATATATTTTAATACAACAGATAACTTTGCAAGTTTGTCCAAAGTCTGAAATATGGGTCTAGTGTTCAAGTCAGCCTGTCTTGTCACTAACAACTTTTGATTCATTTTCTCTGTTGTAGTTGACATGTTTACATACTTTATTTGACTCGTTTTAAAAAGAAAAAAATTCTCTGTATTTGACTTTGTTTGTTTCATTTGTCCCTCCCCCCCATTCCTTTTCTGTCTTCTTGTCACTGCCTTTAAAACAATGCTTATGTGTAATGTTTTATGAGATGATGTGCTTCGCCAGAGTAATTGAAACAGCTTTAAGATGAATTCTATTTTATGATGTTATAAAAATATTAACAGGCAATGTTGTTTCTTTGTCATTGGAAACTCGATTGTAACATCAATGCTAATTGTGAATTTGTTTGCTCCTTAGGGGCAGCAGTAAACTTGACTTTGGTTACTCCTGAGAAAGCCATCAAGCTGGCAGCTAATGACCTCTTCCGTCATCACCTTTCCAAGGAGGGGTGAGTGAATTTGTCTAGTATCTGTTAGAAATTTAATTCGTCATGACTTATGTCTGATTCCTTGTTTTCTGTCAACAGAAAAGGCTTAACAGTATTCAAAGAAATGCTTGCAGGGTGTGGTGCCGGCATGTGCCAAGTTATTGTTACTACCCCCATGGAAATGCTTAAAATCCAGTTACAGGATGCGGGCAGAATTGGTAAGAAAACCACTGAGGAACGGAGAAAGTACTTAAAACCTCATTTTTAATGTTTCTGATGTATTATTTATTTATTTATTCTTTTATTCAAGCGGCCCAACAAAAGAAACCAGTGATGATGTCTCCCACAAAGCTGGCGGTAACAAACACGGTGCTGAGCCGCTCGTACAACTCTGGCCTTGTGATGTCTACACCGAAAGCCGTGTCGGCAACACAGATTGCGAAGGAACTCCTGCAAAAACAGGGCATCCAGGGCCTGTACAAGGGCCTGGGGGCAACACTGATGAGGTGAAGCTCATTTTTATTCAAAAACAACTTTTTTCCCCCTCCATATAAGAGAAAAAAATCAAAAGTTTAATATTTACTAATGAAGATTTTGTTTCATTTCTTTCAGGGATGTACCTTTTTCTATTGTTTACTTCCCATTGTTTGCTAACTTGAATCGACTGGGCAAACCCAGCCCCACAGAGTCATCGCCCTTTTACTGGGCATTCTTGTCAGGGTGTGTTGCAGGATCTACTGCTGCGGTTGCAGTCAACCCTTGTGATGGTAGGTTTCGTTTTATCTGTTTGTTGTCAAGTACTAGTAGCAACAAGTCTTAAAGAATTTTCTTTCTCTTTGCAGTGGTGAAGACCAGACTGCAGTCCCTCAACAAAGGAGCAAGTGAAGAGAGCTACAATGGAATTATGGATTGTGTTAGGTAAGATGGCACATTCTTTCCACACCATGTACTGATGCATACTTACCCCGTCATACATGGCTCTAAATATACTCATCCTTCTGTCTTGACAGTAAAATTATGAGGAAGGAGGGGCCGTCCGCCTTCCTGAAGGGGGCTGGCTGCCGTGCTCTGGTCATTGCACCTCTGTTTGGAATTGCACAGGTCATGTATTTTGTTGGTGTTGGTGAATACATCCTGGATAACTATTCTCCAAGTTTCCTTTCTGTCTGAGCTGCATCAGCAGGCTATACTGGCGTAACTACTGGCAGCTACAATCAGTTTACAGCAGAAGTTTATTTATTTTTTATCATCTTTATAGTTTGACAGCTGTGTTGCACTTTGCACACTTTTGTGACTTTGAAACCAACTGAGCCCATCATTTGCACTTGAATCTGTTGACCTTTTTAAGATAGTGGACTCAGAATTACTTTATTCATGTGTCCTAGTCCCAAAACATTCATGTCCGAATTCCCTCCATGAGGGAGAGGAACTCACTCAGACCTAGTTTTGTGTTTAGTTTTTCCATTTTTAAAAATGTTATTATTTACAGGTTATCTTTTCATTATTTTATATACATTTTTCCGTTTGTCTCATCATACAGAGCCTTCCACTTAGAAATAAGATTTGTGATGGCTAAATATATGGGGCCCAGTTTATGCTTTTATTCTGTAAATGTGTTTTGTATTCTGCAATAAAACAATATTTAGCTGTTTTATTGGATTAATTTTGAGCCTTCCTGCTGATGTGGGACCATGATGGTTACCAAACCTTAAAAAGCGTCCTCATAGAAAGACCTGTTATTGTTTGCATGTCCCTTACAAAACTTTATATTATTATACATATTAAGTTTGTGTACATAATTGCCCTTCAGACCTCTACATTTACAGACTTATATTACTCTAAGTATCACTTGATTATGTTGTAACAGAGCAGAATTTCATTGGGTCCTTGGAGGCAGCGTTTTTGACATTAATACTGTGAGAGATGACTTGTTACATACTGTCACTGTGATAGCTTTTTTACACATTATATCTATTAAAATGTTCTTTTCATTCACTTTGGTTGCATGGTGTATAGTTCTTTTTTTTTTTTTTTAATGCAAATATTTTTCACAGCACCCTTAGTGTGTTGTTTTGTGTACATCTAATAATAAATTGGATCAATGCTTCATTGCTGGTGCCCAAGTTATTAAAACTACTGCTTATTACACTTTGTAGAACCTCTTTTCCAACGCTTATTCTTCCAGAAGACATAAAGTTGGAGTATAAACAGTAACGATACCTTTTTGTCTGGCCCTTTTGGGTCTCTTCAGCCTGCCCAAGAAGTTTTCACCGAGAAGCAGTTAATGACAGAAGGTTGAATTTTTGATTTGGGTAAATATTGCAATAAAAGACCTCAACATTTTCTGTGTATATTTAAAATGTACTGGAATTAATACTATTCACAATGAAATATATTTTAACAAGGACATTGAAAAATGAAGTCCTTTATTTCACACCAAGCCTAATTGGAGTGTTTGTTGGAAAAAATATATTTTAATCTTATCTGACAAGAACATACCATTCCAGTTAGAGCACCACCAGCATTTATCAGACCCAATGCATGTTTATTGGGGTTGGAAAACCTTTAAACAATCTGTTGGCAAAGATTGTGTCTAATGGTTGTCCTGGAGCCTTGGCAGTATTATAACTAATAAGCCACACAAGTCTCCATGTGATGGCAAGATTAAATAGGCTTGTCAGATTTTGATTGTAGCTATTATTTTGCAGTCAGACTGGCTCATTGTTCTTTTTTGGCTGAACTGAACAAGCTTTTGAATCCAAAACAACAACAAAACGACTCAATATGAGCACCCAGTATGTTTTATTATCATTAACAGGACAACAAACTGTGTTATTTTCTATTTCACATCTTATTGGCACAGAAACTAAATTTACATCCACAGAAATTTCCACAAAATGCAAACTAGCTTACTGTTACAGTTTAAATGTGCTCAAGAAGAGCTCAGCGCAACACATTACTGACCTCAGAAAAATTTGTAGATTTACAAAAGGGGCAGTTCTTCATCAGACCTCCCTAACAATTTGAGTTTTCATTCGTGCTGTACAGTAGAAATACTTGAAAGTGGAGGCAGAGAACAAGCACTTATGTACATGTTAAATATATGAAAAATTGCACATTATTCTGTAGTTGCAGGTTTGACTATGACTTAAAAGGTTCAAATAGGCACACTATGGAAACTCACTCTGCAAAGGTAGGCTAGTCCTCAAAACTTAATCACACAAAGTTTGATGAGAAACTTTGCAAATAGATGGACTGGATAAATAGTGTCGACTGCAAACGTGTAAAATACTCCATATTTACAGCAATACTCCTCCATCACAAACATTCTTGTGTCATAGAAGGCCTTATGTATTGTGTTGTAGCTACAGTGCAGTATGACAAACTCTGCAGAGCACCATCTAACAAAAACATGTTAATAGCAGGGAATGTCACGTCATGCTGAAAAGCAAAGCATTAAGAATGGGAAAGAACAGAGTATTAAATCAGTGTTTCTGGGCTGGTAAAGTCATGGGGAAAAGCTTTGAAATGATCCAGCGTGTCGTGTTGAATGCAGTCTGTGCAGTTAACCTCCCCACCTCTCCAGTCTGATCTAAAAGGAGTGTCACAGACATGCAACCGTGGTGCTGCTCTATCCATACGGATACAATGATTATAAAGGGTTGTATACATGTGTGGGGGTCCGGTTGTTGTGTGAGTGGGTGGGTGTGTAAGGGAGTCATAACCCCAATTATATAACTTCTCTGCTGTTCCTGATTGCACAACACAGGACCATGCTGAAGATCATTCCAATAATCTGAAAAACAGACAAACAAAAACAAGATGAAACTCCTAATCCATTTTTTTATGAACATCACAAGCCAGTACCTTTAGACAGATATTCTAACATTGTAAAAGATCAGAGTTTAAGGTGAAAGTTTTCCTAATTCTCACCATTACTCCAGCGATGCCAATCCCTATATATCCAATGATGAGCAGCTTTTCATCGAAGAAGTTTAATATTGCAGTATGACAGTCCTAAAGACCCAAAGAAAGGAAAGGTTTAACAAATAAGAATCTGAAGAATCTGGTGACCTGTCCAGGTTGTACCCCGCCTCTTGCCCTCTAGTGACAAGGATTTAAGAAAATGGATGGATTGATGGATGAATCTAAAGTGGTCAATCAGAATCAGTCCTATACTGCCACCATGTGGCTAAGAAGTGTTAAAATTATCTTACCGTGTCCTCTGGTTGGTCTGGGCATAAATCTGGCTTTGTATCCAAATTGGTAGTTCCACAGCAATTCAGCTGTACATGCAAAAGGTAAATAAATATGGTTATGACAGTGTTTCAAGGTCTAAGGATGCAATGAGACAAAAGCTACACTGTACTCACAGTTGTGTGATAAATTTGTGCTATGGCAGTACCATTAATGTTATTATCAGCAATGGAGTCGCTATAAAACTTCTGGATTTCCTCAGCAATCTATTAGAAAGTAATAAAAAAGGAGTAATTAACTCCTGGCATTTTGACAAACTGAGATAACCACTTAATTTGTTCTTTAAACAATAGTCAATTATTTCACCTGTTCTTTGTTCAAGAATCCAAACACACCAGCAGTGATCTCTGCTCCAAAGATTATCAGAAGACAGGCAAAGAACTGCAGAAGTGGGAAAGAAGGCTTATTATTGCAAATGCCTTTTTATTAATGTATTTATTTTTCACATCTGATCTCAGCGATCATTTACAGCACGACCTATGATTTAAATATAGACAATCGCTGAATGTTTGTAAACGAATCATAGGTCAAGTTGTTGAATTAGTTCATCAGTGATTTAAAACTAAACTCAAAAATAATTTCAAAACATTTTCAGTAAGTAAAAGAAACCCTGGCCTAAACTAATACATAAAATAAGAAACTAGAAATGTATATTAATCTCCATAGATATTTAAAGAGTGATGGATTGTGAGTTCTAAAATTTTGAGAGAGAAAACATAAGGTGAAGTTTTACATTACAGCAACACAAGTTTGGTTTTAAGCACTTGAACTCACCGATGCAAGAAGACACTGAGACTCCCGTATGGCACCAAAACAACCAAAGAACCCGACGACCATCATCAGGCCTCCTGCACCAAGAAGGATGTAAACAGCTGCAGAAAGACAGAGAAGGGTTGATTATTATTGAGTGGTGGTTAATTTTTCTCAGAAAATCTAAACATTTGAGGGAAGAATGATCATTTTTCTGCAGTTCACAGCTTCACCTGATGGTGGCAGCATGATTCAACATGGCTTCATGTCTTTGGGGAGGTTTATAAAAAGGTTGTTGTGTTTGTGTGTTTGGGTAACGGTAGAAACATGTCGGTGGAAACTTCTTTACCAAATCAAAACTACAGAGCCGCCTCCCACCCCTCACAGTTGGATTATCAGCCTTCTCCTACACCGAGTTTCACAGCTCTCTGTGGAGATAAGTGCTAGCTGCCAGCTTGATTGCTCCTTTCAAAGAGATTATTTTTAGGATATGGGTGTTTGTAAATGGTTTTGACACACTGTCTCTAGAGAGTAAATAATGTATCTAAACTCTAAAGTAAAATTTATTTTTTGAGATGAGATGTCACAGTTCCACTAAAATGATCGCCCCATTCAGACGTTTGCCAGTAAGGACTTTACAGTACAATTCAATACTAAAACAGTCAGAAGAAGAAAAAAACATATTCTAGGCACTAAAACCAAACAAACAGCCATTGATGTTGATGAATCACTGTTAAATTAAAAGCAAAATTGATTTGAGCGAGATTCCACTGTGTTATTTTGGTGCTGTTTTCAGATCTTTATTCTTTCATGTTCTTGGAAACTGAAGCAGTGGAACAGACACCATCCGTCTCGTAAAGCTGCAAATCAAATTTTGGATGGCTCAAATGCTGGAAACCACGACCATCTCTGCTTGTCTCCAGTCTGGGTGACGTCACCTCCTCTGTCTGCTCCCCTGCTCCCAGCCTTCACTACTGAGTCCTCCTCTATGCTGCAACTATACACCAGGCTGCTCCCTGAGGTCCGTGGTTAGAGCCTAATCACTGCAGCAATATAATTAACCCACATGGGCCCAACGCAAGCTGTTGTTTTCCTGTTGTCGAACAAAAGCACAGGGAAATGCGAGCAAGTAGATTGCTGACCTGCAGGGAGTTGAAGCGTGGTATGAGCGGATTCAAAGCAAATTTTCTGGCCCAACATGTCTGCAATGGAAAATGTGCTCGGCCAAAAAAGCTTCCACTGTATATAAAAGGTGTCAACACATTTTCCATCAATCAGTCATTTTAACACTTGTTCTTTTATAGAACTTCCTGTTAGTGAAACCAGTGACATCTTGCAGACACAGACCAAGCAGCTCTGGTGGTTTTTAAAGCAGGTATGAGACAGAAACAGACATTAGTAAGTGTAAACATCTGCATTATCTCTTACTTAAACTCTGTCCCTATCTTATGTACACACCCGGTGGTTCTGTACACACTGGAAAGTGCAGAGGTGACAGTAAGGCAAGTGAATCATCCACAGGGAATGCTGTTCTTTTGTCTTATTAAGGTAGCACTGTGTTTGCTCTCCGTGCATAAGGTGGATCGTTGCTAGTGATGTCTTACTATTATTTTCGGGAACTTTATGATGGCATTTATTTTGTTGTGGCTGATCCTTGGTACCATATTGCAAATAAACAGATGCCCAAATTGCTCCAGGTGTCATTCAGCTTGAATCTAATTTCATGAAATGAGAAGAGTAAATCAGATTTACGCTGCACACACTAACTCATTGGAGATGCTGAGCTGCCTCCGCTAATTATGCACCTACTCATTCACTGAGGCTACTTCAGATTTTTAAAACTTTAAATCATGTAGGGGGAACATGAGCTGTTACTAATATTATTCCTCCAAGAGGAAGGGTTCCACAGAGCAATATTGACTTGCTGACAGACCTATTCATCAACAAGTTGTTCTTCCATGAATCTAAACAGGGATATTTTTTATATT